CCACTCAATGTAAGTGGCTATAGAAAGGAAATTATAACCCATTCCCTCATTAAGGGGTTTTCTAGAGAGAGAAAGAGAAAAACACAAAATCTCTCTCTTCTCTTAGGAGGCCGGCCACCTTAGGAAGAATGCACTAGCATTCATTTATTCCTAGGTCGCTCGTCTCTTCCTCAATGCTCTCCTTGGTGTGGAAACTTAGAGGTTTCCTTTCTTAGGAACTTGGAGAATCCATTCCTTCATCTATATCCAAGAATTCATCGAGCTAAGAAGCAAAGTTCCTCCTTCCACATCCATGGAGCCAAGGAGCAAGGAGACTAAGGAAAGAAGGCAATTCACATGGGTGAATGTCCTTTGCTAAGCAAAAAGGTACTTCAAAGGTATAAAAGTTTCTCAACTATTTTCTTCAAGATTTGAGTTGAGTCTTGGTTCACAACAACTACTAGGCCTTGAATTTCATAGGTAAAGTTTTGTTTTTGAGTGCCTACAAGCATGATTTCTCATTTAATTGTTAATTGTATGAATAGATGTTGCTCAAATGAACTAGTTTTCATAAATTTTTCCTTCACACTCCACTACAAAAGTCTCGCCTTGAGGATAATCAAATACAATGAAACGACATTCATGAACATTGAATGGATCTAACCCAAGAACCAGAAAATAGCCATCACGGTGACCTGACCAATACAACACTCTATTATATGCAAAGCTCATATTATCGAGAGTATCATATAAAATTCATTGTGGGGATGATACAACTAATTCTCTCCATTTACTAGTCTTAGAAGAGAAAATCTCCGCGTTGAAATCGTAGGAATATCCATCAGGATCAAAGTCAAATTCATCATTAGGTGGAAGAATTCTCACAACTTTGCACCTATACTTCCCATTAAGATACATAGTATATCCATTATGATCATTTTTCCTATAGTAAGAACTGTGGTAGATGATTATTGCTCGCATAATTTGGAAGCATTGGGTAGGGGAGGAGAAAATGCAACCCATTGCATATGTAGTAATCATTTTGATAATACCAGTCAGCAGAGCACAAAATCAAGTCATTGTAAGTACCTACCACAACTGGCACTCTTTTCAAACCCAGTAAACTCTGGAGTCTTTTCAACATAGTTGGTATCACTTTGGATGATGAATGAATCCTGTCAAGGAATTCCTCCCCATTGCGGTCCATCAAAGTTCGTACTACTGGTGTTTGGTTATCAATCCTAAGACGAAAAAAGTGGTCAATAAAAGAAGGGCTGGAGATGAGACTAAACCAACGCTTGCACACACCCTTGCATTGAAAAACAAATTTACCACAAGGAAGTTGACAAAGTATTTCCATCAATATGGATTCTGAAAGTTCATTGATACTAATATTCATCGATTCCATATTTTTCTTGCTGATAATGACATTTTTAATCCAGGGGGTTGTTGCAAAATACTGATTCCTCCACCATGGGGTTGTGATAGGCTAGGAACTGGTGTTAGCCACCATGGGAGCACGAATAGGTAGAAGTAAAAAGGGGCATTGAGAGTAACCTTTTCAACTATCTTTGACCACTTTCTTGTATGAATGTTGCACATGATAATATTTCCATCCACCAGTAGATAAAAAAATATCCTCATTGTTTGGGTATAAAGGTAGCCTTTGAACAACTTTAGCATCATCCGGATACATTTTTTGATCTAGGGAATAAACCTCTTGTTTACTTAACCACAATTTGCTATCTCCCTTAACCATAGAATCAACATCTTGTTCTTTCAAATTCCAAACAAACAAGGTTCTAGTAACTCTGTCATAGTCACTCATCCGCACCAACCCTCCACTCACTGTTGGGCACTCAACTACAAATTTCTCATGTATAGGCACATCAAATACAGTGAAACTACATTCATAATCAGTGAAGGGATCAAACCCAAGAACCAAAAAACAGTCATCACGGTGACCCGACCATTACAACACTCCATTGTACACAAAGCCCATATTGTTTAGCGTATCATAATATATAGGAAACTACATTGACTCGATGAATTTCCGAACCCTAAAAGCAGGGTTTTTTCAGAGAAGAATTAGGGTTTAAGGTTTGTTGTTTAGGGTTATAGAAAGATACTAAAAATATGAATGGAAAAAGCTGGAAATTTAGGGTTTTACCTGGTGAAGAAGAGTGAGCAGGATGATCTTGCTAAGCACCCAAACAGAAATCGTAGGAAAAATAAGGAAAATGGTGGAAATTGGAATCACTCCATGTCAAATTGTTTTCTCTGTGATTTTGAGACTGAAGTGTGGAAGATATGTAACCTAACCAACTCAAGTAATAAATCCTCTAGAAGTAAGTGCATGTCATGTTTTGTGCTATTGGGCCATGTGTGGGCTAATAGTTATAAAGGCCCAATATAGGAATGACACATGGATTTAGGCTAGAGCAGTATGAATCTCGCTCGACACCCAAATTTATATTCCTCTTATGTGTGTCTTTTTTAAAGAAATAATATTATTTACATTAAAGGGGAGGAAGTGGGTTTAGCCTCATAATGGGTTAGCAATAATGTACTTCAAATTTTTCTTTGGCGAGAATCGAACCTAAGACCTCTCACTTACAAATGAAGAGGAATACCATTAAATTAAACCGTAGTATTAAGTGGCTCCTCTCCTGTACTTTAGATTTGGTTAATAATTTGCATATATCTTGAATAAAAGAAAATGAGAGATTAATCTTTTTTTTAGTACATCGATATTTTTACACTAAGGGAAGGGGGAATTCGGCTAAGCCACACAATGAGCAACCTAATTTGGTATCGAATTCGGAAAATGAGAGATTAAACTTAAAAGGGAAAATCTTGGCTTTTGCCTTTATTTATTTATTTGTTTATATTAGCATAATTAGAAGATTAAAATAGTATTATTATTAACACTACAAAATAGTCATCTTCACTCTCTTTCATGAAGAAATTTAGGAGATAAATAAGACCAAGGAGAAGTTCATAATGATTTTTTGGGAGTTGCTCCCAATTAAAATTATCGAAGGATTATAGTAAGAAGTAATTGTATTGTTCTCCTTGATCCTAGAATTAAAAAAAAAAATTGTGGTCTTTCCAGGGTAATTGTGGCTTGCCACCAGTTTTCCCCCTTTTTGGGAAAAAAAAATTATGGTCGTCTAATTGTTTAATCTTAATTCAACTGTGAAAGATGATGTGCTCATTTTTCATATATTATTATCATATATTTCCTTTAGATTTTGTTTATATGAATGGGCTAAATGCACTAAAATCTATTGTTTTATTTTATAGGCATTCAATACCGGAGTTACATGAAAAAGAAGTGGAAAACGAGCTTTCTGGGTGTCTAGAGGAATTCCAGTAGAGTAAGAGTCTAACTAACTACGCCAAAACATATGCATTACAATAAAAAGTGGAAACAAAGCAGTTTTGGAGATCAAATGGACATGGGAATGCTATTCAATGAGTTTTAGGAGAAACATAATTACTAGTTTTATTATTTTGGTTTATTTTTCATTTTGTTTGATAAGGACTTAAAAGTCCATTAGAGCTAGAATTAGTGGTCATTTATTTGACCATTTCTTCTTGGTATTTCCAATGTTGCCGTGGGTGTTAATATAAGGAGATTCATTCTCCTTTTGAGTGAGTCAGCCAACAACTAGAAAAAAGCACAAGTCTACATAGGAGTTGCGGCAATGAAGGGCAAAGAGGAAGAGCTACATTGGAGTTTTTCTTTGCTAGGGTTAAGATGTAGCTTGATCATGAATACTTAATTGCCTTGGAGCAAGAGTCTAACTAACTGCGCCAAGACATATACATTACAATAAAAAGTGGAAACATAGCAGTTTTGAAGATCAAATGGATATGGGAATGCTATTCAATAAGTTTTAGGAGAAACATAATTACTAGTTTTTATTATTTTGGTTTATTTTTCATTTTGTTTGATAAGGACTTAAAAGTCCATTAGAGCTAGGATTAGTGGTCATTTATTTGACCATTTCTTCTTGGTATTTCCAATGCTTGCCGTGGGTGTTAATATAAGGAGATTCATTCTCCTTTTGAGTGAGTCAGCCAACAACTAGAAAAAAAAAGCACAAGTCTAAATAGGGGCTGCGGCAATGAAGGGCAAAGAGGAAGAGCTACATTGGAGTTTTTTCTTTGCTAGGGCTAAGATGTAGCATGATCATGAATACTTAATTGCCTTGTGGCATTATTATTATCACGTTTTTATTCCATATTGAGTATCTTTTGCTATTCGTAATACACATGATTTTTATTTAGATACTTGATCACCATCTAGGTTTAAGTTAAGTTGATTTGATGCAAGTTAGAGTAGATGCCATATTTAACTTGGGTTTAGCTTCTTGCAATCGGTGCCATAAACACCTATTTGTAGATGCCATGCAATTAGGGTTTATGTGATTTTTCAACAATTTCCATAGAGCTTAATGGGTTCTTACTTGTTTAAATCCATCTAGATGCCATAAAGGGTTAACATGTAAGGATACTTTTGATGCAACCAGAAGCCATGGCCGTTGAATAATTTAGGGGAAGTCGATCATTAATATTGGAGAACTACTTGAGCATAACATATTAAGGGAATTAAGTAGAAATGGTTACGGTGAATTTAGATGCCCTAGGTCTCATTTTTCTTATGTTTTTAATTTAATTATTTCATGCATTCTATTTTCAAGTCGTACTTCATTCTTAGTTTAATTCAACTTTTCTCTCTTTTTCATTAAAGCTTCTCAATTACAATTTATTTTGAGACTCTCACTTATAAATGGAGAAATATATAATTAAACCATAGTACCACTGACACTTAATATTATATTGTTAAAAGCAAACTCAATCCGCTCCGCTCCATTGTCATCTCTATTTATACATGTCAAGTTTTCTAAGATTTAACCCAACCTTCTTTCCTCTTTTTCAAATCATGCCTGGAATTTATGCCTACTATTTCTAAATTCTAGATGTTAATTAAAAATTGTAGAAATATACGCAGCTGAAGAACAAATATAATATCTGTTTTCTCTGTGTAAAAGCCAGTAGCAAGATCAACAGCAGGAGGTTCAAAATATTAACCAGTATATACTTCCACCCAAAGAAAAAAAAAGAAATATTAACAAGTATACATTACATTGTGTAGTTTACAACTTTACATGCAGACCGGCGCACGTACGATACGTTAAAACTTCTTTCTTGTTGGAATTGGAGGGATTGTAGCATTATTATTACCTAAAGAGTTGCTTCTTGATCTGGTCGGAAAAGATGAGGTAGTTGATGCCTTGTTACTCTTAGAAATGGCGGCCTTCGGAAGTGTGTACGGTCGGTAAGAACCCAAGCCACCGCCATAGCTCTTGCTTGCTTTTAGTGCCTTTCTTTGATTATATGGTAACTCTTTCTTTACAAGATCTTCAACGCTCTTGACCTTTGAGAAAGATGTAAAGGATTGGCACTTGCCTTCAAAGTACTTTGAAAGTCCTTTCCTGCACATATCATGCTAATCAAAATTTCTAACAAGACAATATTCTAAACTATTTTTATTTATGAGACACAGGATTTGAGTTTGGGCGTAACTAAGCCAACACACTTCCATGATCGACTAGTTTAAGCTATATATTATTTATGCTTCTTAGTTAGATATTTATTCTTTCATATATTGTGTGGAAAATGGAACCTTATGATGCTAGTTAAATTAAATTTTCATTTTTTTCATTACATTTAATAAAAATTGCAAAATATGTATTAATATATGTGAATGGAAAAACTATCCAACATCCAAAATATAATTCCACATATCGTGGTTATAAATTAATGGAAAAGAAATTAGAAATATATTATATTGATAAAATGGGTTTTCTTTTTCTTTATTCTTACTTGATGGGTAGCTGAGCTATGAGATCTGACAAGTCGAACAACGATCCATGCGAATGCAAGGAAGAACACGATGATGATGTTGATGATGATGCTGCATAATCTACTAAGTCCGATGAAGATGTCGATGATCTATTCGAAATCGACGTCGAGGATGTGGTGTCGTACATCTCATCACGATCATCATCATGACCATCATCTTCATTCATGATCACCCAGCTATCTTCCCTTTTTGTGTAGTTGTCATATTTTGTGATCGAGCATGGAGCTTGAAGCATTTGTTCTTCACTACCTGCACCCATAGATCTTCAGGAAGAAAAGACAAGGAGAAGAAGAAGAATAACAAAAGAAACTTGTGGATAATAATTTCAAGGAAGTTTCATGTAAATGTAATTAAGTTTGAGCTAATTGGCACATTCCTTTTGCGCATATATATGTATACAAAAGAATATATAACACATTTTCATGGGAGCATTTTTGCTCACCATCATTTAGTGTGGTGTATGCTCATCACACTAGTTATCACCGTTAGATAAGTTTGAATTTCGAGATTCGTGTAGTGGATAAGCACAAATCTCAATATTTAAATTCATCTAATGGTGAAAAATAAGGTGGTGAGCATACATCACACTAAATGTTGGCGAGCAAAAATGCCCTCCATTTTCATAAAGAGTTTGTGGATTAGATTGCTTGCTTCCTATAAAAGTGCATACCTATGACAGGTGATTACATGGAAATTCTATGAGTTTTAGGTAAGGAGGCAACACATACACTGGCTTTAAATTCTAAAAAATAGAAAGGATAATACTTCAAACCTTTGCGATTAACATATCTCCACCATATATATTTTATAATCAAAATTCCTATTCTACATTTGAAAATTATTTCTACAAAAAAAATATTCAGATCAAATATTGTTTATGCATCCAAATATATGGAACAAATAGGTAGTGTGAGTACCAAATAACATATTCATGAACCCTAGTCTATATATTTATTTGAAACATTCAAACAACTAAACGATCTCTAATTTAAATTTTGTGGAAAATAATTAAATGAAGATTAAGAAATTTAACTATTCTAATTATACAAAAAGTTATACGATGAAGATACATTATTCGCAATGAATGAGACATGAATGCAAATATTGTTAAAAAATAAATGGAAGATGCAATTGATAATTTTTCTTATTTTTAATTATGGGTACAAATATGGACCACTAGCTAATCTAGACACCATGCAAGAATCCATGCACTCCACCTGTCTCCCAATTTTTTTTTTTAATAAAATTAAAAAACATGCTTATTGAAGTTATGCATTGCCTTGGTTGTTTCCTTTTCATACATTGCCTTATCCAAAAGATTCTTATCTTCTCACACATGGTTTGAAATTATTGACTTATGTTATACGGTACGAACAAAAGAGGATAAGCTCTACATCCTTTAAGCTACCCACCCACCCACGTACGTTACTGAGTCACCATGCATTGGACCATAGTGTCTAATTTTCTAATGTAATTTTCTCGTTGCTTCTAACTTCCAAGGGTGGGTCAAAAATGAAGGTTGTTCTAGATGTACCAACATGAGGTACATATATAGTTTGGATAGGGATGGACTTACTCCAACATATGACCTTAACCTACTTCCTTATCAAGAATCATATTGGAGTAAAAAACCTAATGAAATTTTGTTGTTGTTCATGATCATAGAGACACCCAAATATATAGTTAATAATTAGAGGGTTTTCATATAGAGTCGTCGACAATTCTTTGTTAATTTGTTTTCTTTTACTAGTTTAATTTTAGGAGAAATTAGGTTCTCATTCCTATTTCTTCTATTGCATTGATTAAACCCATATTTCTTTTTACGTTTTGATCAAGGTCCCTAGTTGTGACAACCCGTTCCTAAATTTACGTTTTTATTTATTTTAATCGAGGGAATTCACGAAAATACCCTAGAGGCAAGGACTTTGACTTGCATTGACCATCGTCTAGAGAAACGTAAGACTTATTCTTTTAACGTATTTGTGTAGTACTCGTTGGTACGAACGCATAGGCGAAAGCCGTTTGCGAATCCAGATTATAACGGTATAGTTACAGACGTTTGAAATTGATTATTTATATTTTAAATTATAAAGTGTTAAACTCCCACCTTGTGGGAAAACTGACTAATTAATGTTAAGGAAGGAGAAAGGCATCAGCCAATGAGGAAAATGCATCAGCCAATGAGAAAAAGGGGAATTGTCCCCATCCCTTCCCGTCGATACTCATCCATGCAGACAAAACCGACGGCGACCCGGTTCTGATTCCGGCCATTTCCACCAATTTTCAGGTGATTTTGACCCGTCCCTCACCTGCAACCTATTCCACAATACCCCATCTTCTATCTCCATCTAAATTTGAAGATTTTTTAGGCCAAAACCGTGTAAAACCGTGGGGGTGACCCGTGAGGTTTCGACGATGATTCCTTCAATCTGGCGAGTTTCACCACCCACCACCACCCTTAACTAACTCCCCTTGGACCCAGGAACAAGACCCAACTGGTTGTAGGGGCGTTGGAACACTGAGGAAGGAGAATCGAAGTTCACCCATTTTAGGGTTCCGGCGGGTTTGAGTGAAATTGGAGCCTTTCTCGGATTTGAGTGTTGCGGATCTTCCGGATTGAATTACGTAGGGATGTGTTTTACATAAATTATGTGTTCTATTGTTATAAACTCTGAGACGTGATTTGATAATTGTTCTAGGCGACGATGATTCGTGATGTCTTGATATTCGTGCTAGGGAGTCATAGCACGGACCTGAGGTGAGTGGGTCTTTTCCTTTTATCGTATATATATATATGATTGATAATTCTGCAAACGCTTTTAATTTGATTTATGTATATTTATGCAATGTCATACATATATTTATATAGTCTAAGATACTAGGATATGGTTGAGTGTTAGATTGCATTATGGCATATCTATATGCATATTACCTACATATAATGACTGTGAATGCTTTGACGTACTAAGTTGAACTACGAATGGTTTGATCCCATTTGATGGTACATAGGCAGTCTAACAAGACAATTATATGCAGTCATAAAACAATCCAAATTTAATAGGGTACTTGGTTTCTTTAAGGAAAGAAGTTATGATGATTAACAGTGTAGAGATTAACCATGATTTTATTCTGGTCTATCACTGGGTTTAGTTCTGATTAAGAATGTTGGGACGTTAAAGTGGTTATGCCATATGACGCTGCAGATGGCCCGATAAGCTTCAAGTGAGTATATTAATGGTAGTGAGTATGATTGTGTTGAGATGTATTTATAGCTCATTGTCTTGCACCCTGGTGTTAGTGCTCCACCCGAGGCAGGGCCTAGCCTTCACGTGATCATTCACCTCCTGCACCACACGCTCACATTGGATCCAAGGCAGGTGTTAGCCTGTCGTACAAACCACATTAGGTGGTTTCGACTCGTAGGTGACTTGCGAATCTTTGCACAGCTTCACGTGATCGTAGCACTTGAGTGTATTTATTTACACCCAGCCTATTGTACATGCCACATTAAGTGGTTCCGACTCGTGTGCAGGAATTGGTAGATGAGCTATATAGGCAACTCTGATATGAGTCGTACAAGTCACTATAGGTGACTCCGACTTATGTGCTAGCATTGATTGATGAGATGTGGAGGAGTCGTACATGTCACTATAGGTGACTCCGACTTATGTGCTAGCATTGATTGATGAGCTATAGGTTCAGTCGTACAGGTCACATTAGGTGACTCCGACTTACGTGCTAATATAGATTATTGATCACATGATTATTTATATTGCTGATAAGATGCTGTGTCGTGGTATATTTATGGATTTACTGTTGATATACTTTGGATTTCACATTGATACGTGGTATGATTTTTCTGGAAACTATACAGGTGTTGCAGCGAGGGGTTATAACGTTTTAGAAGACTTCTATTAAGATTTTATTTCCAGGGCCACTCACCCTTGTTTTGTTTTCACTCTCCAGGTTTTATTAGCTGAGCTTTCTTATCGATGAGGATTCATGACAAATTTTAGTATTGGAGATTTCTTTTAATGGTATTATTCTCAATCCACTATACTGTACTTACTTATGCTCTAACGTCACGTGTGAAGTGGGTTCATTCCTGCTCACCAACGCACTCTGGTTTTTAGGCACTCTTAGATTTAAATTTATTCACATTTTTCCGCATCATCACAATTTATGGCTTCGTCACCTTCCAGGTGTCGGCCAGCATAACTTGATTCGGATTCCTAGTGGACATCCTGGGTCGAGGTGTGTGATAGGAGCATATTTATGCGACTGAGTTAGCTTGTTCTCATGCATTTATGTTGTTATTCCTTAGTTGTTTTAGTGTTTAAAGTCATTTTCGTGCAATTTCAGGTTCTAAGGACAAAGTATGCAAGAAGGTGCATTTTGAAGCCTTTTGGAGCAGTTTTGGGCTTGGAATAAATAACACATCCTTGGAGCTAAGTAGATGGACGAAATTGAAGACTAAAGAGGCTAGGAATGTGTTAAAGAGAAAGAAGAATTAATTTAAAAAGGACAAAGAGCTCAGCAACCAAAGAAGAAACATGAGTCAAGATTACCTTATTTTGATTTAATCTTTCCTAATCCTCAATGTCCCTAAGTTCCAACAACATTCCTTGTCTATTTCATTCACTCATTACCTTGCACCACCCTTGTTCCCTCCATCATTCCAAATTTCTTGCATCAATCATCACTCCACCTTAACCCTTGACTCATTTCAACACCACTCCATTTTACCCATGCTTTGCATCATTACTTCACTTTCACCTTTGAATCATTTCAACACCACTCCATTTTACTCATGCTTTGCATCATTACTTCACTTTCACCTTTGAATCATTTCAACACCACTCCATTTTACCCCTCATGCTTTGCATCATTACTTCACTTTCACCTTTGAATCATTTCAACACCACTCCATTTTACCCATGCTTTGCATCATTACTTCACTTTCACATTGGAATCATTTCAACACCACTCCATTTTACTCATGCTTTGCATCATTACTTCACTTTCACCTTTGAATCATTTCAACACCACACCATTTTACCCCTCATGCTTTGCATCATTACTTCACTTTCACCTTTGAATCATTTCAACACCACTCCATTTTACCCATGTTTTGCATCATTACTCCACTTTCACCTTTGAATCATTTCAACACCACTCCATTTTACCCATGCTTTGCCTTGCACTTCCTCTATAAAAGGAAGTGTGTGTAACATAAATGGAGTTCATACTTGGTTAGATCATTCACTCCCATTTCAACACAACCTTCATCCAAACACATCCATTCATCTTCACATCCATTCCTCCATACAAACAAACCTTCAAACACTCACCAAAACCTTGTGTCGTAGCAAAGGAAGGGAAGAAAAGTGCTTAGACGTGCTTGCTGTCCAACTTGGATCGTTGGAGCGTTTAGGTGTTTTCTTTCTTTTGTGTATAATGTTTAAATTCATTTCCTTTCGTTTTGTTGTAAATATGAGTGGCTAAACCCCTCTTGGCTAGGGGTGATTTCAAAGCCATGATTATGTGTGCAATATAATTTGATAAATTCCAGTTATGAACTCTTGAATCGTGAATGCAATTGGCTTAACTATTTGATTTATAACTTATTTTGTATTTGTTAATTAAGGGTCGACACTTAATTGGCATGCATAAAT